TAATTGTGGACACACTTTAGTGCATCTAAACTCTACTTTTTAACTCATCCAAAATATTTAGAAATTTTGGATGAGTTTCATTGTGCATCCAGTTTTTGTATCTAAACGCACTTCTTAATTTGACAAAAAAAAATAACATTTGTTTACTATATCTAGATGCTGCGTCTGGATGAGAAAATGAACAGCCTCCAACTATAATGTATCGGGTCATCGAAAGTCTGACTTGGATTCTAGTCGAGGTTAGTTCAACAAAAAACATGAATTGTTTAATTTCCACAGCACCTGAAGTCCTGAACATTATGCTTGATTTATGTCTATTTTAATAATTTGGAAACTACATCTACTCACAATCCATTTTTTTTGTCATTACTATCCTATTAACATTCCATTGGTTATTTGTAATGTCTGAAACTCTGTTTCATGTTTGTTCATGATGCATCAGTAGACAAATAAAAATAAATATTTTCTCTAATCCAAACAATTTTGGGGAATTTTAACATAACCCACAAGATCTTCAAAAGAATGGTGGGAAAACAATTTATGGAATATGGAAAGAATGTAACTGCATAACTATGTCTTCCGGTAACTTTTTTTTTTGTGCAACGTCTTTTTCATTCCTTAAACAATGAGGTTACAGGGAATTATAGTACGATACATGAAAGCATGAGAAACTAAAACATAAAAGACAACATAGTTATACGACTGCGAATCAAAGAAACAATCTTGATGCCTCGGTATAGGATTCGCGGCTAAGCCGGAAAACATAGATTTAGTCGCTTTGACACGCGACTTTGAAGGGTTACCCATTCCTCCGATATTCGTCAAGACGAATTCGGTTGCATCTTCTAGCCCCATAGAGGACGCTAAACAATAATACAAGTCGGATATGGAATTACTCGGTGTTAGTTCCGAGAAGGTTCTTCTCTCCGTTCTTACTCTCCATGAGAGAAGAAATGGTAGAACGGTTCTCGTCCCGAATAGGAAAGAGTATGGATGAGATCTCTCCCAAAAGGAGGAGGTTACAAGGTTTGAGAACCCATAAAATTTTGTTATTCTCGACAAAGAGAAGTCAATTTGCTCAAAAGCGGATGAGAGTTTTGAAACTCTTAGATATGGATCGTTTTAAGCCGTTAAAGGCTTGTTGAATACGGTGAGAGTACTCGGTTGGTCATCGGAGGTGTCTTCTTTGAATTTGGCAGTGATGAACCACCTCGCCCGAGAGACCAAATCCGGATCAACTAATTCAGTTTCACCGGAGCAAAAACCCCGACCGTAGATGTTGGTCGGAATATTGGTGCATGCTTCCGGCCGTCGATACGAATCTCCGCAGATGGGAGCAAAAACTTTCGCAAAGGATTTGGGCCTATTGGGCTCCGTAAATCTATAATCTTAATGGGCCTAGCCCAAAGTGTTGGAGTTGCTGGCCTGAGGTAAGGCGACTGTGCACAGCTTCTCCGTGACGGGGGTTTGCATCGGCTGCGTGAGGAGCCCAGTCGCGGTTGTCGGAGCTTCTCAACGGCAGCGTGTGAAGATTTGTCATTGGTTTCAAACTTTCCCGAGATGGCCAAAGGGGGTAAGGCGGAGCAGAGGGAAGAACCGCTTACGGGGGGGAGACTATATCCGGTTAGGCGAGGGCTGGTGAACTGTATCACCAGAGGAAGAAGATCCGGCGGATCCGGGGGGACGGGCGGATTCGGACGGGCGGATCCGGCGGTCTCGCTATGAGCACACTCGCCCTCCCCAAATCAGGACAGGGTGAGCATCTCGGCGATGGAGCTAGTGGCTTCGGTTTAGAGGAGGCCACCATGGGGAAAGACATCTTCGCCGGAGGCAAGGGGCTGCAAACGGGTACCGGAGATATCACCACCCGAAGTCGATCGAACCTTGTGCTTACCTCTTTCTTCGGCGTCGATGGTGGTTTCAGAGAGGCGATCCATGGTGCAGGCAGTGAACCCATGGAAGAGCTCGCCGGCGGTGAGGAGAAGTACTTCTTGCTCGGAAAACAACTCGCCGGCGACCACCTCGGTAGTCGGGCCTGAAAGGTTCTCTAGGGCGAACCTTTTCAATAAAGAGGTCTTCCGGTAACCTTCAGGAAAATAGACGGTCAATAACTTAATCACAACCAATTTCTATTGGACATCGTGAGCATTTGGCTCACATCTCTGTTTTTGTTTTGGGTCTACTAAAATTACTGTTCAATTGTCTCTTCGCAAAAAACCCTTTAAAATCCTCTGTTTTTGTAAGAAACCTTTAGGTTTAAGATTAAATGAAAAATACATTAAATGAAAGAAAGTGGCCGATGAATATATGTAACCAAGCCTTTTTATTTGTTTTATACACGGCAAAAACAAAATGTTTTATACAAGCACACACATATATATATATTGCAAGTATATCTTTTCTATTTCAATATGTGTTCTTAATTAACTTGTTATCGAAAAGAAATATGTGTTCTTAGCTCTAAAATTTATTTTGTTGGCATTTTCTTTATACCCAATGACGAAATCGTAGAGAGCCATGCGAAATGCAACAATGAAGGAACAATGGCGGAATAGTATAAAGATATTCTGAATGTTACGTTTATTGATGATAGTTTGATGTATTATATACACAATACAATTAGGATCTTGCCTAGAATATCTCTATGAGATATCAATCTACAAAGATAAGTACAACAAGATTATGATAAMTACAACTTATACTAGTA